CCCCCCTCCAAGATAATTAATATTAAGAAAGAAAAGAAAAAAGGGTGAGTTTCCCAATAACAGACCATGTCCCAGAAGAAAAGATCTAGTAAAAATCAGGGCCTTTAGCCTTTACAACTGAGTATCCACATGTGAAAGATAAATGATGTTGGACCTCTCCTTCTTACCATACACAGAAATTAGCTTGAAATAAATCAAATGCCATTTAGTAACTCTGTCACTAAAAATGAAAATTTTAGAAGGAAGCATAGGCATAAATCTTCTTGACCTTGGACTATATAGTGGTTTTTCTGATATGGCATACAAAGCGCAAGCAAAAAAGTAAAAAATAGGTGTCTTTCACATTATCAAAAACTTTTGTGCTGCAGAGGACATCATAAGAAAGTGAAGACAATCGACAGAATGGGAATAAATTTTTTACAGATCGTATCTGTGGTAAAGGTCCTGCATCTAGAATACACAAAGAACTCAGGCCACTCAGTAATTAAAAGAGAAGTAAGCCAATTAGAAATGGGCAAAGGATCGGGATGCCTTGGTGGCTTAGTCAGTTAAGCCTCTGCTTTCAGCTAAGTTTATGATCTCAGGTTCCTGGGATTGAACCCCACATTGAGCTCCCTGCTTAGTTGGGGAGTGTACTTCTCTTTGTCCTGTTTTTCTCCTGATTGTGTGCTGTCTCTCACTCTGCTCTCTCTCTCAAATAAATACAATCTTAAAAAAATGAACAAAGTATCCGAATAGACATTTTTCTAAAGAAGACATCCAGGGGGCCAACAGACACATGAGAAGATGCTCAGCATCACTTATCAGGGAAATTCAAATCAATACTGCAATGAGATATTACCACACTGCTACTAGAATGATGTAAGCAGAAGGATAATAATAACAAGTGGTGGTAAGGATTTGGAGAAACTGGAACCCTCATATACTGCTGGTCGGAAAGTAAAATGGTACAGCTGCTTTGGAAAACAATTTGGCAGGTTTTCAAAAAGTAACAGTTACTAAATGACTCAGCAGTTCTACTCATAGATATATAATCAAAAGAAATGAAAAGATGTGTTTGCAAGAACTTGTACAAATATATATTTATAGCAGCATTATTATATTATTATATATTATATATGTTATATATAATATATGTTATTGTACATTATCTACAGCTAAAGAAGTAGAAGTACTGTGTTAATCAATTATGAATGGATAAACAAAATGTGCTACATATATCCAGAGTGAAGTAATACCTATAAAATGGTTTGAAGTACTAATACATGTTCAGTATGGATGACCATAGAAAACCTTACGCTAGTTAAAAAAGCAAGTAACAAAAGGTCACTGTGATTCTATACACGTGAAATGCCCAAAATAGGTAAACCTATATGGAAAGTAGATTCATGGTTGCTGAGGACTAGAGGAGTTTGGGCAGGGGCGGGGGGGTACTAGTAGTGGGAAGGTGACTACTAAGGGAAACAGGGTTTCCTTTGAGAGTAAGGAAAATGTTCTAAAATTGAATGTGTTGATTCTGCGAATTTACTAAAAACTATAGAGATGTATACTATAAATGGGTACAATATATGGTAGGTGAGTTATATCTCAATAAAGGCATTACCTATTCCCCCATCCTCCCAATATAAAACAGGAATCAGGAGCCTGTTTTACTCTGTAGGGACACTATACCTGTTGTATCAGTGTAATTATTACTAGAGTTCCTTTTACCCTTAGAAGTGTCTTGATTTATATGATAAATTTATATCACTCTATCACTATGTGACATCAGGGAGCTAGCTTTGGCCTTCCCCTGAGGCTTCACTTTCCCCATCTATAAAACAAGGTTTATCCAATTCTGATCACCTTTGACCTTAGCACTATAGTTCCCAGAAGCTCCACTTTAGAAGTTTTAACATCCTCCCAGTTGGTCATAGCTCAGTTGGTCATAGGGCTTTGCAGTGCTTTGGAAGATAAACCTAAATTAACAAAGAGTCAAAGCCTTAGACCAGTATAGATCTCTGGTACCAGGAAATAGAGGCAAGACAAAGACAATTCCTGAGTTTACCCATTCCTGAAATTCAGATTTCCCCATAGTTAGGCTACTAATAAAGGCAATCCAACCATTCTAATGCAGGCAAAATGCTCTAAATACACCCTTCACACTCCCCACCCACCCCAAAAGACAAACATTTAAAGGCCCTTCACATAAATTAGGAAGTTTCCCAGGGGGGAATCTTGTCAAGTTTGGCACTGGTTAATGAAGTTCTTGTCTAAAAACAAGTTGGTTAAGTCCATCCAAAGGGGCCTGATGTGATTGTGGAGGTCATCTGATCATACAGTGGAATGCTTATTTCCTAGGTGTCTTTAGCCATGATTGTTTAGGAAATAAAATTATATAAAAGGAGCTTAAAAATTATTTTGTTCTCATCCCCTTTATACTTGTGAGAATGTACCTGATAATAGTTGTTATAGCTTCTCACTTTCCTTCTCCATCTCCCTTCCCAAGGCCACCTAGGTCTGTGTGGTGGGTTGTACACATGCATCATGGTGTCTGCATTACCAGTCCACACACATGAGCCCATTTCTGGGTTTTGCATCAGGAAGTCCTTAGAAAAAACTCAAGAAAGTGAAAGAAGAAGAAGGCATAGAATAAATCTCATTCCCATCAATCCGTCTATGAACCAGAAGGATGGATGCTCACCAGTCTCACTGAGAAGGGAAACCATCATGAGGACAGAGTAGTAATGAACTGTCTACATAAGTCAGAACACCTGGTCACAAAGCCAGTTATCAGAGATGGTAAAGAAGGTTGGGGGTGAGGTAGAGCTTTCCTCGAATATAGGGGAGTATTGAGAAAGAATCACTATAGTGGTGTGAAAGTAGCCAGTGCACTAGCCTCCAATAAGAAAAAGGTCTTTCAGAGACTATGCCCCCTGCTGTTTGCTTCTTTAGGATGTCAGGACTGGGAAAGGTCAAAAAAAACATTCAAAAGCTAGAGTCTAATAGGAAGAAAAGAGGAGCCATCGGTTTTCTGCATGCCAGATACTGCATCCAGTTTTTGCTGATATTAGTCTGTGGTTTTCATAGACAAGGTAAAGTCCTTCGTAACTACAGTTTGCCAGGCGATACCTCAGGTTATAATGGTGCAATTTCTACATCCTAGGGAATCGATGGGGCTGAGTTGTATGCTCTACCTTATATGCTCTACTTGTGCTAGTGGTAGGATTTTAGGATTAGTGGTATCCATCATTGTTCTTACTTTTAAGGTACTGAGGAGGAGATAGTACTGATCTTGGAAATTCTGCACCATCTAGTTGCTCAAAATAATGTGGATGCTTGTGGGGCCCTGCCAGTAGAGTAAGGTGGATGCGCTGTGGGGAGATGCTATACTGGGTGGCAGTCTTCTCAAACAACTCCAAAGTGGTAAGCTCTTTGGAGAAGATGACATTATACACACACAAACTGCTGTCTTAGTCACAAATCCAGCTTCTGTGGGGAGCTCGGTTCTTCCAACTCCTGACAGATGTAAATGGTCATCACTTTCTGGCCTTCAGTAGCACTGAAGAGCCAGATGCCATATACAGATCTGGAGCAAATCATCTCAGGACACCTTCAGCAAGTTTAGCATCCAGGAAGGTGGTAAAGAGCTAGCTGAACTGTGAGAAACTATTGCAGTGTGACTACTTCTGGGTGTCCTGGATCAAGGCCCACAGAAGCTGGTGATCATTGCCCATTCGCAATATCTCCACTTGTGGGTTAAAGAGCTATTCCCCTCACCAAGGCTGAAGTTGTTCAGCCTTTGGGACTGGGCTCTCTTCACATGGTAGGCTATGCAGGCCACAGGGAGCATTCTGTGAGAATGATGATCCAGTTGGTTGGCTGGTACTTCCCTAGGATATTTCTTTTCTCCATCTTTTATGGGTCAGTCTCCTATTTCCCCTCAGCTCCATTTGGCTAGAACACTGTGATCCTGTAGCTGGCCAAGTGCATGTGCTTGTATACTCCACATTCTTCTGCTGAATTGTGTCAGTCTGTACTGGGAAAGGCATTCCTTTCTTACCACCCAGCTTCCTCAGGGTTAACTCTGTTATAACTCTGATACAGTGCACCTGAGTGAATTCAGGGGCTCTCTTCCAAGTGTCCTACAAACATTTGACTATGTTCAGCTGGATCAGACTCTCCCTCGGGTCCAAGAGAGAGTGGAATATGCATGTCCAGGATTTAGTTACCAGTTTTCCATCATGGTTCCTCCAGCTACTGGTGGTTTGAGTGCTGTGGGAAATTACTGGGATAATGCTCTTGACATATTTTGCGTTTAGATATTGAAAGTCTTCCAACTCTGACCCTCTTGCTTGAAATGGTCAGAAGGAGCACCTCATACAGGTAACTGCTGGAGTAGTGCTATTTGTAGCACTGAGACTGTGTGTGACAGAACAGACTGGCTACAAATTTGTGCCCACTGTGACCCAAGCTTGGCAGTGAACTGCCTGAAGGCAAGGAAAATTTCTTACTATCCCTTAGAAGCCATGGAAGGAACCCCACCCCATGCTCATTTATATTTTTTTCAATTTTTACAATGGCCACATTTTATGCTGGCCTTAAAATGTATTTAATTAATTACCTGTTCTATATAATTTTTTTCATATTGTAAAACAACTGAGTCACCTTTGCATACAGAGTGTCTTTCTAGATATAAGTGCAAAATGAAATTTTAGAATCAAAGACAATGGAGATTTTTAGGCATTTAATGTATAGTCAGTAACACTTAAGATTGTACCCATTTTTTAATTTTGCCAGTCTCAGGTAAGGATCTGTCTCTGCAAATAAATCACACCATTTGCATCACTAACTTGATATTGAACTGGAGACTTAAGTTAATCTTGCCCAAATCCTATGTTTGTTTGATGTTGGCCATGGGTAGAGAAACACTTGTCCAGTAGCTGAGCTTGACATTGGCCATGGGTAGAGAAACACTTGTCCAGTAGCTGAGCTTCACTTATCCCCATTCGTTCTGGAAGGATCTTGCCGCTGGCTGAGCTTGCTGGCTGTGCTGCACCCTCCAGGGCCATCTCAGCGTGTATGCTCACAGCTGCTATCCCCGCAGTCCTGTAGGTCCTCCCTGGCCGAGCTCATGGCCCACACCTCCCTGGACCTGGAGCTGGATCTCCAGGCCTCCAGAACGCGCCAGAGGCAGCTGAACAAGGAGATCTGCACCCTGAGGGAACTGAGGCAGTGGTTAGAAGATGCGCAGCTCCGAGGCCAGACTGATCTCCCAAACTGGGTGCTGTGGGACGAGCTGTTCCAGAAGAGCCTGCTGAAGGAAGCTGAGAGGCAGGTAAGAGGCCTGGGCCCCGCCTGGCAAGGCCCGCTACGGAGTCCCTCCAGCATCCTGGGCCTGCCTGGTCATGATGATGAAGCTGTACTTTGAACACTCCCTGGGCTCCTCTGAAGGGACTGGGTTTCTCCCTCCGTGGGCCAGGCAGCTGGTATTCCTGTGCCACCAACCCATGACTTTTTTTTTTTTTTTTTTAATTTAAAATACTTAGTTAACATATGTGAATAGTTTCAGGGGTATAATTCAGTGATTTATCAGTTGTGTATAATACCCAGGGCTCAGCCCATTGGGTGCCCTCCTTAATGCCCATCTCCCATTTTCCTGATCCCCCCCAACTACCTCCCCTTTGGCAACCCTCAGTTTGTTCCCTGTGGTTAAGACTCTTAAACGGTTTGTTTCCGTCTCTGATTTCATCTTCTTTTATTTTCCCTTCCCTTCCCTTGTGTTCATTTGTTTTCTTTCTTAAATTCCACATATGTTGAAATCATATGGTGTTTGTCTTTCTCTGACTGACTTATTTAGCTTAGCATATGACCATCTATGTTGTTGCAAATGACAGGATTTCATTCTTTTGAAGCCTGAGTAATATCCCATTGTGTGTATATACCACATCTTTGACTATTGTGGCTATTGCTGCTATTAACATTGGGGTGCAGGTACCCTTTCAGATCACTACATTTGTATTTTTGGAGTAAATACCCAGTAGGGCGATTTCTGAGTTGTGGGGTAGCTCTGTTTTACAGAATGACTGTTCCAGCTTGCATTCCCACCAAGAGGGCAAGAAAGCTACTGTTTCTCCACATCCTGGCCACATCTTTTGTTTCCCAAGTTGTGCACTTGAGCCACTCTGAGTGGTGGGGAGTGGCATCTCCGTGTGGTGTGATTTCTATTTCTGGAATGATGAGGGTGGTGGAGCATTTCATTATGTGTTTGTTAGCCATTCAGATGTGTTTTCTTTGGAGCAGTGTGTGTTCATATCTTCTGCCCTTTCTTGGCTGGAATTTTGCTGTGTAGGGTGTCAAGTTTGAGAGGGTTCTTCAGACTGTGGATACTAGCCCTTGATGGAGTATGTCATTTGGGGATCTCTTCTTCCATTCCAGAGGCTGCCTTTTAGCTTGGTTGATTGCTTCCTTGGCATTGCCCAATGCTTTCAACCTGATGATGTCCCAGCCATTCAATTGTGTCTTTGTTTCCCTTGCCTCTGTTCCTCCTTGTGTGGAGCAATATGTTGCTACAGTCCAGCTCAAAGTGGGTGCTGCCTGCCTTCTCCTTTAGGATGTTGCCAGATTCCTGTCTACTGTGTAGGTCTTTGGTCCGTTTTGAGTGGATTTCTGTGTATGGAGAAAGCGAAGGGTCCAGGGTCCTTCTTCTGCATGTGGCCGTTGGTCCAGCATTCCCACCACCATTTGGGGAGGAGACTATCTTTTGTCCATTGGATATTCATTCTCTCCTGCTCTGTCCAAGATTCCTTGACCAGCAAGTGAAGGGCCCATGTCTGAGTTCTTCCCTCTGTTCCCCTGGTGCCAGGATCATACTGTCAATGACAGCTTTGTCACACAGCCTGAGGTCCTGATGGGGATGTTTCTGAGTTTGGTGTTCTTTCTCCACTTTCCCTTGGATCCTCAGGGGACTTGTCTGGTGCTTCCCTCTTTGTCGCAGCTCTGTGAAAAATGCTGGTGTCACTTTCATAGGGATTGCTTTATGTGTGGACATGGCTGTTGGTTGTGACTACATCCTGGGAATGGGATTTATTCTTCCAGTCCATGAGCATGGAAAGGGCTTCAATTCTTTGTGTCTACCTAAGTTTCTCTCATAAGTGTCTCTAATTTGGAGAGCACATCTCTTGGACCTCTTTGCTTAGGCTTCCTCCTAGGTATTATGGCTTGGGTTGTAATTGGGAACAGGAGCAATTCCTTGAAGACTCTCTGGGCTGCTTCATTATGAGTGTGTAGAAATGGAAGCGACTTCTGTGTGTTGCTGTGTTATCCTGGACAGAGGTGAATTCCCAGACCAGTTCTGGCACATTTCATTCTGTTTTTATTCATATGATTTTCATGGAGTCTTTTGGGTTTCTATATGGATTCTCATGACGTCTGCTGGGAGTGATCATGTGATTTCTTCTTTGCCAACTTGGATGCCTTTGATTTCTTTTGGTGGTCAGATGGCAGAAGCTATGACTTAGGGAACTAGGAGGAATAAGAGCGGTGAGAGTGGACATGTCCCCATCGTGGTCCTGTCCTTTTCCTTATGGGGAATGCTCTCAGTGGTGCCCCATTGAGGAGGATATTAGCTGTGGGTCTTTTGTATGTAGCCTTCAGGACGTTGAGGTGGGTGCCCCCTACCTCTTCAAAGTTGAGGGTTTTTACCGAGGAAGAATGCTGTATTTTGGCAAATGCTTTTTCTGCACGTATTGAGAGGATTATTTGATTCTTATCATTTCTTTTATTAATGCTGACCCAACTCTTTTGCAGCTTCCTCAGGTAAGGGACTGCTGGAAGGATGCCCAAGCCCTACTGCTTGTATTGCCACTCTCCACTTTGTGGTGGAATGTTGTGATGTCTGCAAGGGATTATCCCAGACACACTGGTAGTTCCTGGGAAGATTTGCTGTGGCCACGGTGTGTGTGGATGGGGCAGCCTTTCCTCCCATGTAGGACCCCAGAGCTCGAAGTAGCTCTATTCCTTCTTCCTTAAAACTAGAAGTAAAAATGTCTCTTTCATCCAATGTTGCTGTTCCAGACAAGACAGGCCAAACTTGACTTCCATCAAGAACAGGCAGCTGAGAAGATGCTGAAGAAGGCCTCCAGAGGGGTATGCCAGCTACATGGGCAGAACTACCAAGAACCCATCCAAGTGTAGACCTTCAGGTAGGGAAGGCTGTGTGCCCACCTCCTTGCTTGCTTTTTACTGTCTTGCCATTATCATTATAAAAAGTAAAGTAAATATTAAAAAAAAAAAAATTGGGAACAGAACAGGAATTCTCGTTCCTGTTAGCATTTGGTGTTTTCTTCTTATCTTTTGTATAAACCATTTAAAAAAGTTGTTATCACTTACGTTTAATTTTGCATTTAGCTTTTAAGAATGAAAATACCAGATGTTGCTACATAATCTATTATTTTTTCATGACTGTAGTTTCATGTAGTAAATATAATTTGCTTATGTAGCTACTTTTTTCCAATGGTTTCATGTTGTATTTAACAGTGATTTACACATGTACATATATGTATGACCTTTGCCTTTTTAAATTAACTTTTGATTGAACATACTGTACATACATGTATATATAGCATATATATAATTGTCCTTATTTTATAAATATACTTAATTATATATGAATATAGTGAATATATGAATATAATATATGAATATAGTCAGTTATCATAAACTAAACATTACAAGAATCAAAACATTATCAGCATTCCCAAATCCTGAAGATATTTTTTAACCACTATCAATAATTTGAGTAACATAAATTGGCTTTTTTTTTTTAATGTCACTGGAACTACACAGTTATAGCTGTGCTCTTTTGTGCTTTACTTTTACCTTTATGTTTTTTTGTACCTTTAATTTTTATGTCTCTATTCTAAAATAATATAAAATATTTTAACTGTCTTCCTTCAAGTAATTTTGAGCTTATATTTTGAAATGTACTTATTTATTAATAAAACATTTATTGCATACTTACTAGATAGTAGGCAGTGTTCTAAGCAGTAGAGATAAATCCCTGTCCTTATCAGAATATCATAACTTCTACTACAATTTTGAGAATTTGTATGGAAACGTTTGTATTATGACAAGTTCTATTTGTTCTATAAGCATGAAGAGTGATTATTAATAGGAGAGCCTCATGACAGCTTTCAGGGTGTTCATATTATCTGTAACCTGTAATTCTTTCCAAACCTAGGGAGAAGATAGCATTTTTTACAAGACCAACAATAAACATACCTCTTCCGCCAGTCGATGATGTTTGATGTAGTGTGTTGTACACATGAAGTGTTCATCTGTCTGTTTCATTTTCATGAAGTTTTTGGACTAGGTGAATTTGTCTTTAAAATATTTATGCAAAAGTTTTAATAGTATTTTGTTCTAAAAACTCTATAAATATGTATTTTATAACTGACAGCAGAGTTTAACTTTTCCTTTTTGTGAAATTAACATCTCAAAACAGGGTTATTTTGTAAAAGATCAAGTATCATGTTAATAGTGTACAGTTTTTACACTATTAGACTTACAGGGTGGAAGAGGAATGAGTTCAGGCAAATTCATTGTATTGTAATTTATTTATAATACTTTTTTTTTCCTTGAAGAAAAATACTGACTTTAATTTGTATTTTAAAGACAAAACTTTGTGCTTCAGTATTTGTCATGCGGTTACAATGGAGCTTTGGGGCCGGTTCTGTTTCTGCCACCCAAACCTCAAATACTTTGTGCTGAGCGCGTCACTTGTATCCGTTTCCCGAGTGTACCTATAGTGTATTTCGCATGCTGCGGAGCGTACGCACTCTGCCTTCACTCACCGTCGCACACGCTGCGGCCCTGCGGGCCGCCCACGGGCGGTGCGAGCCAAGCTATACCCCGTGCGCATGGCGCACCGGCCGCCTCTCCTGTCGTCTGCGTCTTTGTGCGCTCGCCATGAGTCTGGGGCAGGCTCCCGGCCCCTGCAGCCCGGCCTCAGGCCTGCCTGTCCAGGGTGGCCGTCTGCACAGCCCGCCCTCAGCAGACCGCCGGCAGCCCCCACCCCGCCACCCCGGGAGCCTGCCCCATCCGATGATCATGACGGACGAGGCCCCGTGGAGCTCCAGCACTACGGCTCTGTCACGAAGGGAAGCCATGAGAGCTAGGAGCGCGCGTTTTCGGAGAATCCTTGAATCCGCGGATAGACAGAGTGCTATGACACAGACGTGATGGCCTTTGAAGGCGCTTGTCTGGGGAAGGAAGCGAGCACATGTGGGGAGCGACACTTGCCCAGGGAGTCACTTACAGGAGAGGATTTGATTTAAATCAAAATTCGTCCCCCCACTCCCCCAATACTGGAGTCTTCTCAGTATTTCTTAAGAAATCTTAGTAGTAGTTCATGAGGGAAAAAAAAAATGTATGTAATAAAAATATATCTATATTCTTTTAAAATGTCAAATGACCTATTTTGCTGTATGCGTATTTATTATATATATGAAATGCACTCTCTTTTGTGAGGCTCTGTATGAGTAAAGAAAGTTAAGTTACCCCAAAATGTAAAAGAAAATACAGCTCATTCTGTACACCCTTTTCCCACTCTCTTTTTCCTTGAAAATAGCTCTTTTAATCACTGCGGCTCTCTTTTCATTGCTCTAAAATCTCTCTGTATAAGGTGCCTTTCTTCTAAATTGCATTAAAAATAAATTTTGTGAAAGCATTTCATTCATAATTGAGTTATTATAACAATGTACTTTCTTAGTAGTGCTATGATCTGTTGCTATGTATTTGTACCTCTGGTCTCCTCTTCCCACACCCCCTTTTTGGGTCAGTGTTTTAGTATATATACCAATAATGTGTTGGAGACTCACAAGCATTTCTTATCACAACCACCACCTAACCATACAACATGGTCAATGATGCAATTGCTGAAACTTTAAAATCTAACAAAACTCTGTTGTTGGATGGGTAGAGCATGTACATACCAAATTATGTCCTATGTGCATGGCTGTTAATGCAGAGAGACTTCCCTGGATGCACTGCCTATCTGTTCCTCTTAAGCAGCTGTACGAATGTAAAAATCAAAACAACTGTTCTTGAATAAATTTCACTGCTTACAAAGTCCCTTCCTATCCCCCTCAGTTTCCCACAGAGTTTTATTTGAAGTGTTTTTCTTTCACAGACTTGGGGCTCTCTTGTGTTTTTAACCCCACCTTAACCAAACACAAAGGCCCACTTTCTTTTTTTAAAAAATTTTTTATTTATTTTCAGCATAACAATATTCCTTGTTTTTGCACCACACCCAGTGCTCCATGTAATCCGAGCCCTCTCTAATACCCACCACCTGGTTCCCCCAACCTCCCACCCCCCCACCCCTTCAAAACCCTCATATTATTTTTCAGAGTCCATAGTCTCTCATGGTTCACCTCCCCTTTCAATGTCTCTCAACTCCCTTCTCCTCTCCATCTCCCCTTGTCCTCCATGCTATTTGTTATGCTCCACAAATAAGTGAAACCATATGATAATTGACTCTCTCTGCTTGACTTATTTCACTCAGCATAGTCTCTTCCAGTCCCGTCCATATTGCAACAAAAGGTGGGTATTCATCCTTTCTGATGGAGGCATAATATCCATAGTGTATATGGACCACATCTTCCTGATCCATTCGTCCTTTGAAGGGCATCTTGGTTCTTTCCACAATTTGGCGACCATGGCCATTGCTAGTATAAACATTGGGGTACAGATGGCCCTTCTTTTCACTACATCTGTATCTTTGGGGTAAATCCCCAGTAGTGCAATGGCAGGGTCATAGGGAAGCTCTATTTTTAATTTCTTGAGGAATCTCCACACTGTTCTCCAAAGTGGCTGCACCAACTTGCATTCCCACCAACCCTGTAAGAGGGTTCCCCTTTCTCCACATCCTCTCCAACACATGTTGTTTCCTGTCTTGCTAATTTTGGCCATTCTAACTGGTGTAAGGTGGTATCTCATTGTGGTTTTAATTTGAATCTCCCTGATGGCTAGTGATGATGAACATTTTTTCATGTGTCTGATAGCCATTTGTGTGTCTTCATTGGAGAAGTGTCTGTTCATATCTTCTGCCCATTTTTTGATATGATTGTCCGTTTTGTGTGTGTTGAGTTTGAGGAGTTCTTTATAGATCCTGGATATCAACCTTTTGTCTATACTGTCATTTGCGAATATCTTCTCCCATTCTGAGGATTGCCTCTTTGTTTTGTTGACTGTTTCGTTTGCCTTTGGAGACATATCTTGAAAGAAGTTGCTGTGGCTGATATCAAAGAGATTACTGCCTATGTTCTCCTCTAGGATTCTGATGGATTCCTATCTCATGTTGAGGTCTTTTATCCATTTTGAGTTTATCTTTGTGTATGGTGTAAGAGAATGGTCGAGTTTCATTCTTCTACATATAGCTCTCTAATTTTCCCAGCACTGTTTATTGAAGAGACTGTCTTTTTTCCACTGTATATTTTTTCCTGTTTTGTCGAAGATGATTTGCCCATTGAGTTGAGGGTCCATATCTGGGCTCTCTACTCTGTTCCACTGGTCTATGTGTCTGTTTTTATTAAAGGCCCAGTTTCATGGCAGTTCAGTGGCCTCATGGGTTTACCTCCCCTGTTTTATTTCACCCTGCTATAACCTACATGTGATTGCTTTTGTAGCCAAATGGCATCATAGTAAGGAAGTAAAATCAAGACAAGTGAAGATAAGTTTTATGTTGCCCATGGAGATCATCCTCCTTGAGTGTTCATTATCCATGCTGGAAAACAGAGGTGGTCATTGTTAACAAACTTTCATAGACAGATAGAAACAGTTCATCTTGCAGCTTCTGACCAATTACAACCACCAAGAGTATATCTTAACATTATCAGAAAAGTAAAGTCCTATTGCTTTTCGTTTATTTTTTATATGCCCTTAAGTTTCATGACCTCATCATAAGGTAGCGTAAAATATTGTATCTTCAACTATGACTTACAAGTCATTCATTTGTTTTTTCTGTGTTCATTTTTTAAATAAAACAGGTATTTACTGAGTACCTTCTGTATATGAGACACTATTATTAAACACTGCAATAGACAAATTGCCTCCTTTATGAAAGTGTCACAAATTACGACTTACAATGTGCTAATATGCTATGTTTTCTGATGAGTAAAAGTGCCTTATTAACAATTCCAGTGAAGGTGGTCAGAGGTGGAATTGATAATATTTATATCCCTTTTCAAAAAAGCTATTGGAATTCTTCTGCAAGCTTCTCTGAAAATAATGCTTCAGACACAGAGAATTTTTTTTTTCTACTTCAGCTGATCATTGCATTGTGAAACTGGTTGAACACTGCTTAAATAAATATCCCTGTATTGTGGGAATAAGTTATAATCACTATTTCTCTATTTTTGTCACCATTTTTTTCTTAGTCATTTGTATCGTTTGAAATTCTTAAAATTAAACTAGTCTTTTTAAGAACGGTAGAAATCTGTTTTTTAATTTGTTTTATGTTATGGCAGTTAATGTCTAAAAACAGAATACCAAAACCAATCCCCGTGGTCCTCTCACCCAACATCAACACGAATCAATCACCTGCACTTTCATGCACTTCTCGTATTTGAAGCCGTCCCTACATGATACTTCATCTGTAAATATATCACTTCCCATCCTTTGGTTATGTAGGGCTTTCTAAGGTTACCATCATTAACAGAAACTTAAATTTTATAACAAATTTTAAATAACAAAAGATACTGTTTCACATTTTTTTCTCGAAGTATTTCAGAAGTCTGCAACAGAGTTTCTGAGTGATCAGTTAAGCATCTGCCTTTGGCTCAGGTCATAATCTCTGGGTCCTTGGATCCAGTCCTGTGTAGGGCTCCCTGCTCAGTTTCGAGTCTGGTTCTCCCTCTCCTACTGCCCCTCCCCCTCATCTTTCCCTCCTTCTCTCTCTCTTTCTCCGTCTCTCTCTCTTTTGCACATAGTGCAAAAATAAATACGATCTTAAAAAGAAGTCATCATCAATAAAACATACATGTTACAACAAAAGATGCTCCTATCTTTCCTATTGGAACTCTATGTCAGGAATAATCTTGAGCAAATACCAATATATATAGATACATTTCTTAATATAAAACAAAATGTCGTAAAGTCATTTGGCAGTTTTTTTTTAAAGATTTTATTTATTTGACACACAGAGATCACAAGTAGGCAGACAGGCAGGCAGAGAGAGGGAGGTGGAAGCAGGCTCCCTGCTGAGCAGAGAGCCCAATGCGAGACTTGATCCCGGGATATGGAGATCATGACCTGAGCCGAAGGCAGAGGCTTAACCCAGTGAGCCACCCAGGCGCCCTCTTTGGCAATTTTTTAACAGTTATTTTCATTGTCATTGAATTG